AAGTTTCCTCAAAAAAATAAAAAGATGAAACTGCCAGCAATTCCACCTCTAGAAATATATATGAAGAAACCCCCAAACACTAATTTGAAACAATATATGCAGCATTATTTACAATAGCCAAGATTTGGAAGCAGTCCAAGTCCCCATCAGTAGATGAATAGATAAAAAAGCTATACTACATTTATACAATGGAACACCACTCAGCCGTAAAAAAGAAGGAAATCTTACCTTTTTCAATATCATGGATGGACCTGGACAGTATTATGCTAAGTGAAATAAGCCAGTCAGAGAAAGACAAACACCATGTGATTTCATTTATATATGGAAGCTAATGAACAAAGTAAATAAACAAACAAAATAGAAACAGACTCATAGATACAGAAAACTGTATCTATGGACAGCTGTCAGAAGGGAGGCATGGTTGGGGGACTGGATGAAAAAGGTGAAGGGATTAAGCAAAAAAAAACAAAAACAAAAACAAAAACAAAAAACGCCTCACAGACACAAACAGTATGGTGATTACAAGAGGGAAAGGGCGTGGGGAGGCAGACGAGGGTAAAGGGGTATAAAGGGTGATGGAAGGAGACCATTTTGGATGGGGAACACACCATACAACAGATAGATGATGTGTTATAGAATTGCACACTGGAAACCTATATAATTTTATTAACCAATGTCACCCCAATAAGTTACAACAAAAAAAGTAACTCCCCTTTTGGGAATGAAAAATAATTTCCCTGCTTGTCTGCCAGCTTGCTCCACAGTTCAGGGGCTGATGTGGAGACCGTGCACACTCTCAGGTGTTTCAAATCAGGAAAATAAGACACATGTTTATTAAAAGTGTGTCTAATACTTGATTATCTGTCCCTCAGATGAGAAGATTAGATTTTGGAAGAGAAAGATTAATAACTTTCAGAGATAAGCGTGCACTTGGACCTGCATGCCGATTGTTTACTATGAAACAATGTGCCAATGAGGCATCTTGTCTTCGCTCGCCTTAGATTCACTGTGGATAATGATCATTTAATTAAATCTCGTTATGAAAATTCCTTCCTTCTAAGCACTTTTTGAAGACCTTTTTTTTTGTTTTTTTTTGCCTGCCATCCATCAGTGGAAAACCCAACCCGACAGTCCATTTCTAAATACCAGGCAGTGTCTGCCCCTCACCCTCTGACAGTTCAGTCCATAGAACCCAGGAGAGCACAGACTTTGCAGATTGTCCTGTTTAATCCAGATTTCTCTGCTACTAGGCCGGGCAGCCTTGAACAAGTTACCGAACCTCTCTGAATTCATAAGACCCTCATCTGTACATGGAGTTAGCCAATGCCTTTCTCATAAAGTTGTGGTAACAATAAACTAGGTCAAGTGTCTGAGATTCACGGGGCCATGTATGGTGGCTCCTTTCTCTCTCCCTTTGGGGAGTGTGCTTGGCACTGGCAGACACCCCTGGTCATTTGGCAACAGAGCCCTGAAGCCACTCTCCTCCCAGGCTCGTTCGCTGCTGGGAATCGGGTGGTGGGCAGTGTACCCACTTAGCAAGCCTTGTCCCCTGGTGCCTTCAGCCGCCAACTCTTATGACACGTACCTCCCACTCACCCACATCATTAACAAGCTTAATTTAATGGTGGGTTGCTCCTGACAACCAGCCCTTGGGAGCAGAGAAGGAAAGCAACTGGCGCCTGCCTCCCGTCTCTGGTTATGGCGCTGCTCACCCACCTGATGGTTTGATGCTGCAGGGAATCGGGGTCCGTGGCGTTCACCGTCAGCAGCACGCTGCCCACAGAGATGTTCTCCTGCCTGGTCACCATCATGGGGTCGGGGTAGAAAACCGGGCCCTCGTTGACATCCAGGACAGTAATGTGGACGGTGGCTGTGGAGCTGGGGCCGTAGGTCACGTCGGGTACCAGCGGGTCCTCGTTTTCCACTTTGATCAGCAGAGTGTGAAAGGCAGAAATCTCATAGTCCAGAGGCTGGAATGAGAGAGAGGGACTGAGCGTGTGCGTGTGCGTGTGGGTGTGCATGTGCGTGTGCATGTGTGTGTGGGTGTGCGTGTGCACACGTGGGCCACAAAGGGCAGACGCTTTTGCATAAAGTCCCCTTTGACATCCCTCAAGGGAAGGTAGATGTTCAGGGACAGAGCCAGGTTTTGTGGGCTAAGTTTTATGCAATTTGGGATCCTCTTTAAGAACAAGAATATGAAACATACACATGCAAAGTTAGGTATCAACATTGTTATTCTTTTTAGATTGAGAACGAAATGACAACACATTACTCATGTAATGAGCCTCAGAGATCTGGGGCCTCCCTTCTAAGATCCCTTTAGGAGTCTCACTGGCAACGCTGATGTTAAAAGGCTTCCCACCTGTCACCTGTAACACTCTGCAACTCTGACACCCCTGGGGGCTCAGGAGGATGAGGGACCCCGAAGCCTAAGCTTCATGAGATTCATGGTAGCCCTGTCTGTCACCAGGGAGATCCAATGGGAAAGGCAGACCGAGGCTCCATTTTTAATGTGTCCCACTCACTGGCCGCGTGGTCTAAGGTCTGGGGTCTCTACAGCATTTCACGTAGAGGGTCTCCTCGCACAGGGCGCATTTCCCCCAGGGTGTCGTG